GCAGGCAGGTTGAGAAGTGAGGTCAGCAGCTGCCCCAGAGATCAGCTTTTCAAGAACAGGCATCTGAGACAGATTGTCCGTGCTGTGTGAGGAAAACATTGGGGAGGCCAGCTGTCAGTAGCTGAGCAAGAGCAGGGCCCAGGCAGCCCCCTCTTTCTGCAGCATCTTTGTGGTTCCCGGTTGCTAGGAGCAGGCGCTTCTGTTACTAAGCAACAGGAGCTTGGTGGATTAAAACCAATTTCCTGAGCTCTCTAAAAGGGGGAGGCAGAGAAGGTGGAATGCAGATGGTCTAGGGAATCTCATGTTTGCCACCAAGCTTAGCTGGACCGGTTGTGGGTGGAGGATGAATATGCACCAGGTACTAAGTATAAAGACTGAGAGTAAGACTGGCAATTAAGATGCTGATTACAGCAGTAATGAATCCTAATGCTGCTCCTTTGCAAAACCCCAGGAAAGGCCTGTGGTCCCTGGGGTGTTTCTGAACTCTTATCATGTCAAAAATCCTAGGAATCACCTGACTTGGCCAGACAAAACTGGGCAGAGTTTCTTCTCCAAACACAGAGAATCAATGCATTTTAGGGTCAATGGGCCCCCAAGGGTCCTGGGATTCTAACTGTAGAAGAATGATAGAGGGTCCTGGACATATGACCCTCCACCCTTTACTTCCATAATAACTTCAGTGATGACAGGGAGCTCACTTCTTACGAGTCAGCCCTTTACTACATACTTTACCCTTAGAATGTACTTTTTCTTGTGAAACCCAAGTCAGCCTCCCTGTGGCTCTTTCCCTAGGGGGCCAATGGAGCTACTCCAATCTGCTTTGGTATAGAGAGCTGTATCCTCTCTCTACTATGAGTCTCCCTCCCACCACCTCTATTCATCTCTTAGGAGAGAAACACAGGGTAGGGAGTATGGGGGAAGGCATGGCCTCACTTGCTCCCTTTTGATCCCCTATGTCCCACTTTGTGTTTAGTCATTTTAAATGGCAAGTAGCTAGGATAGACAAATTTGTCAAGAGTGTCTAGTCCCAATTTGTGCCTTAAATTCCAGGCTTCTCCTACTGTACTGCTTAGGTGGGGTCTTCCTATCCCAGGTCAGTGTTTTGGGGTTAGATTGAAGAAATCTGTGTGTGGAGGTGTTTACAAACTTAACAGAGATGGTTCCAGTTCCAGAATGGGAGTATGAGGAGCCCTGTGCACCCAAAAGAAAAAACTGCAACTGGCGAAATTTATTTAAAAATCAACTATTCAAAGTCTCTGGAAATTGTCCTAATTGCCTACAGCAAATGAAGGAACATCCATTCAAGAAACTCTAATAAATCTTGGTAAGAATAGCAAGAGTCTCTAGTATTTGAGCCATAACCTGCTCCCATTTATAAACTAAAAATAAAATTCTAAGAGTCCCCAACCATCTGAATGGACTTCCTCCTCAGCCAGGGCTCTTTTAGAATTTAATCTGAGAGACTGTTTCAGGCCATGATGGGAAGTGGGAGTTGAACATGCCTCATTATACCTCTCTGGTATTAACATCAACACAGACTTTAAGTCTGATAAGAAACATTTACAATGTATTCTCTCTGAACCCTGCTAGCTAAACGCTTCCTCTGCACAATAAAACTTTGGTCTCCACAATCCTTTATCTTAGCCCAAACATTTCCTTTCTATTGATCCCAAGTCCTTAAGCAAACTCAACCAATTGTCAACCAGGAAATTTAAAAATTTACCTATAGCCTGGAAGCCCTAACTTCAAGTTGTTTCACCTTTCTGAACCAAACCAATGTATATCTTAAATGTATTTGATTGATGTTTCATGGCCCTCTAAAATGTATAAAACCAAACTGCACCCAGACCATCTTGGTCACATGTTCTCAGGACCTTCTGAGGGCTGCATCACAGGCCATGGTCACTTATATTTGGCTCAGAATAAGTCTCTTCAAATATTTTGCAGAGTTTGACTCTTTTCATTGACAATAATTTGGCATCCAATGTGGGACCTCAGAGCGGACTCAGAACCCATAAGAAGTTTGCCCAAACTCAGAGCTAAGGTACCAGAAGAGGCCCATTGAAGCCTCTCTGACTTTGAGCTTCTCCTCCTGTGGAACTGGTAAGTCCTCCTGAGCCTTGGCCTTCCCTTTGGTTAATGGTCCTTGATTTATTCTGAGTGATTTTATTTTTTTCCTAGGAAGTTGTTTAAGGATCCTACTTCTAGTTCAGAGGTGTATTCTAAAGAATCTTCTCCATTGCATTTTCTCCCAAAATTAATCCCAGTTTGGCTTGTCTGTGCATATTTGTGTGAGGAACTATACTGCTGTTTTTATAGGCAAATGAGAGACTGTGTTTCTTTATCTCTGAAGAGAAAGCACATTTGCTTCTCCCAGCCAAAAGGTGCCCCTGGGTGACCAGGGGCTTCATGGAAATGTCTGGGGGGGTTAACCCCCCATGATGTGCAGTGGCCCTACAGAGAACCCCCAACAAAATTAGTTTAAAAAAAGGCTCATCCGGCCAGGCACAGTGGCTCACACCTGTGAAATTCCAGCACTTTGGGAAGCTCAGGTGGGTGGATCACAAGGTCAGGAGTTTGAGACCACCCTGGCCAATATGGTGAAACCCCGTCTCTACTAAAAGTACAAAAATTAGCCAGGAATGGTAGTGTGTGCCTGTAGTCCCAGCTACTCAGGAGGCTGAGGCAGGAGAATTGCTTGAACCCGGGAGGTAGAGGTTGCCAGCCTGGGTGACAAAGTGAGAGTCTGTCTCAAGAAAAAAAAAAGGCTCATCCAGGAAACATATATAGGAGCTGGTGACTCCACAATTTGAACCCTCCTGGAGAGGCTTAATCCTCCAGAGAGGAAAACTGAGATAAGTAAGAGGGCACAACGACTCCGTGGTGACACACTGTGAAGTCCTGCCTGTAAGCAGCACAACTTCAACCCACTCCACAAAAGCCCCAGGCCACAGCTCAGTTCCTCCTTTAAAAAAAAAAGTGTGGGAAACAAATAATCTAAGAATGAGAAGAAAACAAGGAGAATGACCCCCTTTGGGGCACTCCATTGATTTTATGGCATATCTACTTGCTAGAGTTTATGTAAAATGGAAATAGTATGGTCATTGTGCACATTTACATTAAGGAAAAAGAGTCCTAAGGTCGACCTGCAAACTGTAAAGTTCCTGAGTTCTCTTTTTCTCTATTTTCTTTTCTGCCTACTTTAAATCTGCTGTTACTTTCTTACTGAGATAACAAACACTACCTGTATCTATTTTTTTTTTTTTT